ATAGAAAAAATAATAGGAAATCTTTTGTTATAAAAATGAAAAGTAAACATACATATTTAGCTCCACATAAAGCAAGAGGTTTCGGAAGCAAATACTAAATTGTATCATTAATTTAAAGGATATTTGACAAAAATGATGCAATTGTAGGAAGGTATTATCACAATTGTTAACATATCTAAATATATGCTTGAAGATGTCAAAAGAATATTTCAATTTACACAAATCGTTATTATTAAACCATTGTGCCATTGCAATGCCAACCTTTAGAGACATATAGGAAACTTATATAAATGTTAAGCATCATTTCAAGAATGAAAAGTGTTAACCACCATAAAGTGATTAAATCAATGGTGTATATCATTCTTAGGATTCCCAGAGAAGAACATCGGTCAGATGTGAAAATTAACAATAAGAGTAATAGGTGAATACCATTATCAATTGAGTTTGATTGTTCAATTGCAACCATATTACATTTAAAATTGCTACTCCAAAGTTAAATAAGGAGGAGGTTATTGCTTTGCCATGAAGATAAACAAAAAGAAAAAAAGCAAAAAAGAGAAAAATGAAAAACTATAATTAAAATGAGATTTAAATGATTTAAAAGCTACATTTAAACCAAAAGTAGAAATCCAAACACTAATTAGGGAAAATTGAGATTACCCCTTAACTTCACCAATATGAGTGCATGGAATATGGAAATGAAATATAAAAATATGAATATTCAATTAGCCCAAAAACTTTAATTTATTTATAAAATTAAGTGGTCTAGATTGAAACCGCTATTAAAATCCCACTACGCTAATATTAGTATATGGCATCATAAATTTTCAAGTCTAAAATCAATAGACAGAATATCATTAAATTCTTTGATTTGAAAGAACATTTATGAACTTTTTATAATTTTTATTCTAAATTAAGCCATATTTAAATATTTAATAATTTTATATATTAAAATTCTGCCACATAACCAAATAATGATTTCATGTATTATATATATTCAAGGTTTTAATAATTTTACAAATGGACACTGAGTTAAATCATAAATAATATATTAAAAAATATAAAATGTTAAATGAGAATATAACATATATCTAAAGTGAATTAAAATATCAATACCACACAAAAATTTCTCAAGTTACATACATTAGCATTTCACTTATCTCTATTGATAAATTTTTCAATAATAATAAGTAATTCTATTTTTATACTAAAAATAAAATTTATCAATTTATAAGTATCAATTTATGAAATACAATTTTTGGTTTGCTTAGAGTGAATAGTAGTGAATATGCCTAAAATATACATGGATATTTTAAGATATTTTACCATCTAACAGTTGTTATCTATACATATAAAGTGATAGCAGGGAGGTTCACTGGCTGTTGGCTCCAGGGTCGATAGCCATGGTTGTGCGAGAAATTTTTCTAATGTTTGCTCTCGGCCAATGTGAGGCGGCCAAGCTGCATGGGGTGGGAGAAGAAGGCCCAGCGACACGTGTCACATGCAAGTGTCTTTTCTATCATCATCCAAACTTTTTTTGTTAAGATCTTTTAAATTTTCCTGCACAAATCGCCCTGTCGCTCCCGATGTGGAGAGCCGCTGCTTTAGGGAAAGGGTAAGAGAGGGATGCGGTCGAGTAAATGCCCAGTGAAGCTGTGGCTCCCGGATCTCCCAGGCAGAGATAATCTACTCAGAGATCTCCCGCTCAATCGCCACAGCAATCCCTGCAAGAACAGGCACCAGCAGCATATCCGGAGCTACAGTCTCGCCACTGTCACTCCCGGCATGGAGGATCTCCACTGCTGCTTTAGAGAAAGGGTGTAGCTCTAGAGGAAAGCGAGTAAATGGCCAGTGAAGCTGCAGCTCCCAGTCCTCGCGGGAACAGGTGCCAGCAGCAGATCTGGACCCGCGGGCTCTAGATCCAACGGGTCCAGTGGTCCACCCAATGGCAGCAGCGGCGCCTCCACCAGCGACGACAGAGGTGTTGAGAAGAATGTGATGAAGGACATTTTCTCTCTTTGTTATGGAGGGATGGACAAGGGGGGTGGTGCGATGACACTCGGTGGTCTTCAGCCTCCAAAAGACATGGTTTTTACGTTGTCTTGATCATACTTTCAAGGACATTCTTCTTCACATTCCTCTTAAGCTTGGAAAGAACCAACACATCCTTAAGCTGTCTACTCTGGTGAATGCCACTGGCCCCGACCAATATTTCATTGCCCCTTCGGCATTACGGCCTCAACCAATGTAGTTACTCTTGAAGTGGAACATGAGTAAGTTAAAGAATGTTGAGATATCTTACTCATTTTAGTGACTGACTGGATCGGATCATCTGTGACAGTCACATTTACCAAGGAACTCTAGCTCGAAGCTTTATTTTTATTTATGCCTAGGAGTATATTTTGTTCTAAATATTTATATTATCAAGTTTTGAAGAATTAATTTTTGTAATCAATCTAACATTTTCTAGGCATAATTAAAGTGGAATATAATATTTGTTTTTTGATATAATTCCAATTTAGTTTTTAATATATTAGAAAATCAAAACAATATTTTGCTACCTACACAGCATATTCTGGGCAAGTGTCATATTAATCTTGTATTTATAAACTTTCCTAAATGTTTTTGTATATTTTAGTTTTTTACTATCTAGTGGTTAATATTAAATAAGATTAACTTTATGTTTAAATATATTTATAATTATGTGAGTGCATGGGATTGTGCAGTGGAAAGGACCATATTAGGTGTTACGGCAAGTTGGCCGCAAGTTTATGAGGTTCGGCATGATGTCCAGCAGGCCGATCCTCCGAAGATTGTGCATGTGTAGTGGTTGAAACACTTTATACAAAGGGATTAAGAGCAATTAATACCATTTACAGATCCACCGATGCCTCCTCCTGACGTTCCTCTAGATCCCAACCCGTCTACAAGAGAACCCATTTTTTCCATTATTCCAAAAGGAGGGGATGATGTGAGGGCCAAGTGTACGGCTACGATGCCGTATACTAATATTAGCATAGTGGGATTTTGGTAGCCGTCAGATTGGTTTCAATTCGGACTATTTGCTTCTGTATATAAGCTAGGATTTTTAGGCTAATTGATATGCACATTTCTGTATTCCCTTTTCATCTCGAAGTCTTTGAATCCACGGCTCAATCTTTTGAGCCTCGCAAAGAGAAGGTAGATCTTGCTCTGCGCCTTGAGGACACTGAACGTCAAGTACAGCAACCGTCGACGGCATAGAATCCTTGTCTAGAAAATCCACAGATGCTGGAACAACAGGCTCATCATAAACATAAGAAGAGAGTGGAGAAGGAAGAGGAGCTCGAGAAAGGGTATCAGTATTAGCCATAGAACTCCCTAAGCGATGAATAACATTAAAATCATATATCTGAAGCTTCAAAACCCACTGAGCAATACGACCAACCAGGTTCTTCCGCTTCAATAATGAAGTAATGGTAGCATGGCCACCTTCAAGTAACGTCTGAGAACCATGTAAATATGCATGAAGTTTCTCGAAACCCCAAACTACCACTAAACACTCCTTCTCTGTCATGGAGTAGTTCACCTTTGCTTGTTGTAACATGGCTTATATATGCAATGGGATGATACTGACTAGGCACACTCGGGCTTTCTTACATTAATACACCTCCAAGACCAATATTAGAAGTATTGACATGCAAAATAAAAGGTCGAGTGTAGTTAGGATATGCCAAAATCGGAGGAGTCGTTAATAGCTCTTTGAGATCCACAAATGCCCACTCACAATCTAAAGACTAGATGAAAGATGATGTTGACAACTTCAGCAACACTCACAACGGTCTAATGTGATCAGAAAGATGATCCACAAAACGACCGAGATACTACACCTTGTTGCACATCATTCACACACTTCAGAGTAGGGAACTTTAGAATGGTTACAAGTTTGTCAGGATCAACTTGCAAACCCTCACGAGAAATACGGTACCTAAAATAAGTTGTGTCCTTGGACCCAAACATGCACTTCGATCGCTTCAGCTTTAAACCAACATCCCGTAGCAGATCCAATACTTTACACACATCACAAATGTGCTCCTCCCACATCCCCTCCGAGTAAATCAAGACATCATCAATGAAGTCAGCAGTCACCTCTGGCATATCACAAAGAACCTCGTCCATCATCCGTTGGAAAGTTGCTGGAGCATTGTTCAAACCAAATAGCATCACCAAGAACTCGTACAAACCAAATAGTGTATGAAAAGCAGTCTTAAGAATATCTTCTTTGGCCATCGGTACTTGCCAATACCCAGAAGCAAGATCTAGCTTGGTGAACCAACAACTTCACCCCAGACGATCCAAGAGATCAGCAGTGTGAGGAAGAGGGTACACATCCAGGATCGTCACTTCATTTAACGGACGATAGTCGATGTAGAAACGAATACTCCCATCAGGCTTCGTTACAAGATGAGGTTCACATGCCCAAAGACTCTACGACTTCTGAATAACACCCTTCTCCAATATCTCCTTGGCATTTGCACGTAAAATCTTAATCTCCTTGGTTGACCGACGACGAACAGGAACCTTGATTGAATGAGCATCCCCAGTTGGAATGGGATGACGTGTGGCAATCTTGGACGTCACGATTGCCACACGTGTTGAATCTATTGACCG